ATAATAATTAACAAAATGAGTGCATCTCATACTCTTTTGAATGAAATCAGGAGTATTTCTGACATTTTAATTTAAGTGATTAATTTTTTTTATGGAATAAGCTAGTAAACGAGCATACGGATCACCTGATGGTATCACGGTGACCAGTGGCGTACAAGTATACGTTACCGGCCTTTTGGAAATTGGGAATTTGATGATTGTGAGGGATTCGAGGACTGGGGAGACCAGGGAGAGGTGGTAATTGGGCCTCCGGTAACCTCACTCACACGACGAAACATAACGCGATCGTTGTTTGACGTGTCGTCTGCTTGGCCGTGGTATCACTTAGGTCGAGCCGGCTCATTCGTGCCGAAGCAAGGCTCTCTAACACTTAGATTGGACTGATCACAGTTTAATGTCTTGATTGGCATGATACAATATTGGTGAGATTAAATGTGTTACATTTCAAATTATCAGAACTTTTACCGGTGGTTGAATTTAACAGTTTCTAGAAGAACATTTTAATAGGTGCATCTGCAAAAAATCTGATACTGAATACGTGTACGGTTTCACTCTCATGAAACATAAAGAAATATCATCATTGACAACCGATTTGGCAGCCAAGCCTTGGTATATTTAAAGACATTCAAGAATTCGGGAAGTGACATTATGAAGAGGTCTATTTTTATCCTAGACAAGACATCATTATCGTGCCTTATGGCAGGACAAAATGTGAAAATATTTCACCTTCTTCATACTTCTTAAACACGTAATGTAAAAACATTCCAAAACATTCTTCTTAAACATTCCAATATTGAATTGTAACCAATCAATTTCGTGGATATTGAGGAGGGCTTTTTTTTAAGGGGGGAAAATCATCGAATGACTGCTCCCGCCTGGGTGAGGCGGGATGGAGTGTCAGACTCTTACTGACTAAAAACCACTCCGGTCCTTCTCCTGCACATTGAGGAGGGCTAAGTTGTTCAGCAGTGGACGTTTTCTGGCTGACATAAAATGATTTAATGCTCTACTTGTACTTAGCATACTCCTCGGACTGCGTTATTTTTGGGAAGATGACTTTTTTATGGCATAAGCCGGTCAATGAGCTGACAGATCACCTGATGGTAAGCAATCGGCGTCGCCCATGGACACCTGGAACGCCTCTGGAGGCGTTACAAGTGCGTTACCGGCCTTTTGGGTTAGGAATCTGAGGAGGATTGTTGGGATTCGATTCAAGGGTTGGGGAAGGGGGGGGGGGGGTAATTGGGCCTCCGATAACCTCACCCACACAACGAAACACAACGCAAGCGTTGCTTCACGTCGGTCTTCTGTGAGGCCGTGGTGTTCCTCCGGTCGAGCCGGCCCATTCATGCCCGAAGCATGGCTCTCCCACACTTATGACTTAAAGAAATCTTGACGTATCAACATAGATAAAATATATCATGTGTACATAAATCCTATAGTCTAGTAGTGGACTGTAACGCCTGTAGATGTACAATGTACATTTTTATTAATATTATTATACAGATGTGGATAATTGCAAGTTCAGATATAACCAGTCTCTTACTAACGGCGGCGAAGCGAATGAAAGTGTGTAACAATCGATTATATAGCAAGTCGTGATTAAACTGAGTCAAAGGTGTTGCTCGTCAGTTGCATAAACACCATAAAAATGTTACGTTTCCATGACGTAACTTCCTATATCTAGATATTGGTAAAAATTGTACCAAGAATAGCCCATGTTTGGTTTACGTTGAATTTATAGCGAACGTATCAATATGCCTAAAATAGGTGATGCAAAGTTGCTTTTTTTTTTAATGTTAACAGTTTTCTGTTTGTGTAAACCCTCGTTGCCAATGCCACTGTACACCCACTTTTCACTATTTATGTTATGAGTCCCATGTAATAGGGGGTGCCTATTGAAATATACCAGGCATATTTCCAGACTCCATGCTATTACTGAGATTTAAAAAAAACCCAGTAGTACTTTGCCCTACCCGGGAATCGAACCCGAGACAGCCCGGCAGTCACACTTGCGACCACTCGGCCAACGAGGCAGTGTTTTTGTTTTAATAATCTTGATATAGCTATATGGCATGAAAATCGGTACCATAAAACCATTCTCTCCGTTCCTCGTTCCGTCTTCCCTATTTCATAACACAGCCATAACTTTAATGGCTATACTACGTGACAATGTTTAACGGTGTTTCTACTACGCGCCATTCGTTCCCATCATCTTCGACCTTCAAACTTAACTTCTATATCTTCTATCTATTACATATAATAAAATCGTAGGAAAGTGAAAACTGTACATTGAATATTTTTTTTAAGAAGAATGCTTTGGGGGTGATTTACAGTCGATACCGAAACCAAAAATATGGGTTTTAGAATTTTTGTCTGTCTGTTTGTCTGTATGTATGTCCGGGATGAACTCAAAAAGTGCTGCATGAATATTACTAACAGCGGGTCAACATATAGACTACATATTATCATGCTATCAACTACGAGGGAGGAGCTGTGAATCACTATTCCACGCGGACGAATTCGCGGGCTCAGCTAGTAGGGTATATCAGGGATGAGTCATGGCATTTTATAATACCAGTCAGTACTTATATACTTGTTATTATTTATTCTTACGTTACTTCCTGGTAACAGAGTTAATAAATATCACTGTTTTCAACCGACTTCAAAAAAAAGGAAGAGGTTCTCAATTCGACTGTTTAAGTTTGTGGCACTGACTTCTCACTTACCAGTGTGTGTGTAAGTTATAAGTATGCATGACCAATAATAATAGTTATATTTTGCTTTTTAGTTTTCGTTTGCTTTTAGTTTTTGAAGTCGGTTTTTTAAAACATAGTTTTTTATATTTCTGTTCGGTTAGAGTGGTGATAGTGACTACGACTAGGCAAATAGTGTTAGGAGCTCTCCAGCTAAATGGATTGACGATTCATATCTGCAAAATGGCTGATAGTGTAGTGGCAAAAGGAGAAAGTGCGGTTAAAGTCGTTTTTGACGCAATTTGTGGATATTTGGCAAGGACTTCACAAGAATATTTATACCTTTATTTTATTTTAGTAAGGACATTGCCCTATGCTATGTTTTCTGTCGCGGAGAACCTAACGGGTAACCGGGGCTCCGGCACGACGTACAGGAGAAGGAACGGGGTGGTTTTAGTCAGTAAGAGTCTGACACTCCCTCCCGCCTCACCCAGGCGGCAGCAGTCATTCGATGATTTTCCCCCCTTAAAAAAATACTATGTTTTCTCCTCCTGCCCAGTAGTTTCGTTTTACTCATGATAGTCTCTCTGGATAACACAAATAGCATTCTCGCTTTTTTCATCTCATTTCAAACGAAAATATACCCAAGTAATGAACAAATACTCAAACGCCACTCAAATATAATTCTGTCACTACATTTTTTATGTGACATGACAGAGTACGATATTTGAGTATAACGTAAAATTTAGTAGTCTTTCAGTATTCAGTATAAGTGACCAAGATTATTCAAATCAATTCGCGAAGAGTTTCGATACAGTTGGACGGCGACGCACTTTTGATCTCATCCATCGTAAGGCCGTGGGTAATTTTAGAGGCGCAGCAGTGCAATGACCTCGTGCACACACGTGCTACTTACGTAATCGAGACACACGTGATGGTGACGATATGAACACGTCACTGTTTTGAAGTCATAATATCAACAGTGTTGGTTTGGTGGCGATTACGCAATAAGTTTTGCGAAAAAAAAACACCTTTTTTCTGATAACTTGAGATTTATTTTTATTTATTCCACAAAGAAATACCGACAGATTTTTTTAAAGAATCGTAAGATGTGGATGTTTATTTTTTTTCTTAAGATTTTCAGATAGGGTTCATTTGACATTCGATGTCGTTCAAATTGCAATGCGGACTTTGCTCTACCTGTGTAACATAAAAAAATTAAGCTTAGGAAATTCCTGCAGTTACTCGCTAAAAAAAAAAATAATACAAAGCAGTAATCTACAATTTTCCTCGTGAAAATATGGTGAAAAAGTATTATAATGTATCATGAAAACTTTACCTTACATATCACGAACGATAATTTTAATCCTGACAACGGTCTAAACGAGAACGAGAGAATTTATCTAATATAAGTTAACGTAATTTATTTCGGGACGTCAGAGGGTCTAATACGGAATTACGGATACTGGGAACCGGAGGAAACTTGTAATCGATATCTTCAGGGTCACATGCCGGGAGCCCTTTTGCGTTTCTGCTACGCAGCATATACAGATGCTTGCACGTTAAGCTATACCCAATAGGCAAGATAATCTCGCCTTTATTGCCATCAATGTTAAAGGTGAAAATTCATTTCATAATTCGGGTAGCATGATATGCTATCGTCCGTATCAGTTTCCCAAAGGTCTCGCCCTTTTTCGCATGTTTTGTTTTGTTTTTCTTTATATTGCGTAGAGGACGTTGTACTAGAAAGGTCGATGGTCCTCCATGAAGGTTGTAGTGTCAAAGAGAGGATTCCTATGTTCATGCCCTATTGTCTTTTTTCTTATTTGATTATTTTTATCTGTAGTTTGTGGATATCGTTTTTAGGTCTTTGAACTTGCCAGTGGGTTGCGAATAAGGTTTCATTTCTATCTAATTTTGTAGGACGATTCATCTCAAGTGCGATATTTTTGTTTTATAGACTTGTCCCAGTTTGTAGAAGTAATAAACATGAAATGGAGTTGTGTATTCCTTTGGCTTTTGGGGAAATTTCGTAAGCATCCGTCAAAGACGAAAGAAAACAACTGTCTACAGACACATGATGATTAACTTTACATCTCTTCAACTTTTACCTTGACGTTTTCACAATTTTACGTAGTAAGGGCTAGAAAGAAAGAGAGAGTATGGAAGCTTATACCCTGCAGTAGGCCATCACAGCTAATAATAATAAATTGTCACCAGATTGATTTGCATACATGAGGAAATGCAAAACGAAACCTTAATTAGAAGGTCAAAGTAACCAAATCTACCTTTTTTTAATTCCAGTTTCCCAAAGCGACGGTGGCCGTCGCTCACCGTAAGATGCGTTCGCTGCTAGCGTACTACGCGGATGCAGTGATGTCAGCGGCGGCTCGAGGCGCGGGCTGCGCGCTGGACTGCAGCGGGCGCGGGGACTGCATGAACGGCACCTGCCTCTGCGAGATACGATACTCCGGGGATGAATGTGCTGGACCTAACATGCCATACCATGCCTGTAAGTATCGGTGTACTGCTATGGTCCCACATCTATAGACGCGGAATCGGCTAACACCGGTCAAAAAAGCCATTATGTCTACGTAATTAGGGTGTTACTAATACCATCGGCGTTGCGACACCGGCCGGCGGCGAAACGAGCCGTTACCATCCAGCTGATCGGCGATAAATCGAGTAGTGTGGGGATACGCACTCGACTTAAGCTGATTCCGAGTCGATAAATGTGGAGAGACCCTATAGAATTATTATAGCATAGGTGTAAGGGGACTAGATTAGCCTTACACAATTTGTTACGAAGAATCGATTTGTTCTTTAACATTATTCATACAAACAATGGCTAGTTATATTTATTTTATGCGCAAATGTACTAATCAATAACAGTACGGTAATTAAAGCAATTAGTGTGTTTTCTTTTTATTTTTTCTAAGAAGAGTTTGTTTACGAATTGGTTATCTACAAAATTTGTTACTGACACAGGTCAATTGTAATACAGATTTTTTAGGTGACACTCTGTACTGGTATGGAAAGCTAATATTGAACACAATTCAACATTGTAATCTTTTACGTCAGTGAAATAAGAGGGTACACGAGTACCCTTTTCACGGATCACTGATGGTATACCACCAGCGCCACCTATGAACATCCGCAGCACAGATGGAATTAGATGATCTAAAACTACCAAGGAAATAAGAACTACCTTTTCGTTCTCTTTCATATCAGAAATCTCTATTAATGTAATGTTTACGATTTACATCAGAGTTATAATTTTTGCAGTCTCATCCAAATCATAATCACACATAATCCTAATATAATTTTATCATCTTCCAGGTATTGGTGGCGTGTTCCTCCTGGTGGCGTTTGTATGTGCGGTACAGCTAACGATATGCGTGGTGACGGAGTACCGCCGTCTGAAGGCTCCCACCTTCCTCCGAGCCTGCAAGGTCACCACGCAGAAGATGCTGTACCTCGTCGCCTTTCTAGCTTCGTTGATACGAGGCGCCTACTTCGTGTCACCGGTGAGCATCTTATTGAACTTTGTATCATCATCACGCCAGTGACAAAACTTTTATAGGCATTTAATATGTAGGATTGTAACTATGTTCCCAGGGCTATCCTGATCTAGATAGTGGGGTTATCACCTCATCTCGTAACATGTAATGAATGTTCGATATATGACAATAGATTTGCACTACTTTTTGGCATTTCTTCTACAATTCTACTCCATCAAGAGAATAAAGCTGTGGTGTCATGTGACATCTTCGAAGTTATAGATAGCAATTTTCTTAATATGACATTAAAGCAATTTGAATAATACAAAGCGCAATGATTTTCATTATTACATTCGCCAATAACGTAGTTTATCCAAGCAATTGAGCAATTTGTCGTGATTGGTCGAATAAATATTACAATTTATGTTGCAATACTTTGATTGTTATCAAAGCTGATATAGGTAAATACTATTATTGTTAAAATATAAGATTAAATAAATAAAAATCACGATAAAAAGGCGCTAAAGGTAAGTGCCCTAGAATGATGCAATTTTGGAAATGATTTCATGGTATGATGAGGATATTGTTATTTAGCATCATTTAAAAAAGTATAATAATATTTCATTATATATGTTATTCTCAAAGATGGCGAGACCTACTTAGTGTTCCCATTATCATGTTACCTAGCATATCTCTTTTTGCTGTAACTGTATTATTTTATTCCTGTGAACCTTTTGCCATATACCATAAACAATACTGTAGTATCTATGCTTTCATGCATGGAGATTATGGCAAACCTTCTTATGTATAGAAGACCAATAAGTTCAATAGTGGACTGAAATGTATGGTAGAAAATGATGAATGCGGAAAGACTATAAATTTTGAACGCGGACGACAATTTAAACGGTCGTCCAGTCTGTTGCTGCCAAGCGATTTGTAAAAACAAAATGGCACTACTATTATTTTTATCGTATTTTCCAATTTTTGTATTTCCAGTCGGCGTTCCAAGAGGGCTGGGCTACGAGCCTGCTCTCCGCTTACTATCCTCTATTGTTGTCAGGATCATCGCTCATCGTCTGCTTCTGGGCAGAGGTAAGTCATCAACAAGTTCAATTTTTAAGGGACATTTGAATTCATATTTCTTTGAGTAGTCAAAGTCTGATTTTGAGGCTAAGCCAAAAAGGCTTTGTAAGTGAACGACCAGAGATTGACTGTTGATATTTAAATGAAGATATTCCAAAGTATTATATGCAGAAAAGACGTATGTTAACCCCAAGACCTAGTTTAAGGCCTTTGACCTTTAAAAGGTTTAAAACTTTATGTTCATGACATAAATACTTGCCTATCAACTAAATATTCTTTTGTAAAACCATTTATCATTAAACTCAACTTTATTTCCTAAGCGATAAAGGCGATTTTAATAGTTCAAATGCCTCTAATGACGCGCGGATATCTAATTCTCAATGAGTTTGTATGGAATAGCTTCGTCAAATGTGTCCTTGAATGAAAATAGTACACGCCGGTGAATATCACAACACAGCGCCGGGATTACAAACTATTTTTACTGCCAAAATTAACGTGTACGCAACCGAAGTACAACGCCATCTATTGATATTGGCTTGAACTACTTACACATGTGTTGTAGTAACATGTGGGCTGATGTGTAACTTATCAGTTGCTTAAAGATTACGCTAGATGGCGCAGTATTTTATGCGAATGCAAATTATGCGCACGCGGTGTTTACATTTGTTTTAATTGGTTGTCAATAGATGTCTCTAGTGTCTTAGAGAAAGATTGTTTTAAATTTAGTTTACGCCGTATTTGTATTTAGTTTACGGATATTTATTGTTTATATGTAACATCTACATATCGGCTGTTATACACATTGCTACGTTTTATATTAATCACATTGACATGCACGCGTTGCCAGGCTATTGCTGAGCATCACATATTTTTATCTTTTTTTTCCTACAACAGACATATTGATAATCGTCTTAATTTCTAAGCAGACTGCTCACGTGCGTTTTTTATACACATAAAGAAAACAATGTAATAAGGTGATTTGACTTTACACAGGCTGTTTTTTTTGTAGCTTAGATTTGTAATTGAGCTACTTGGTTAAAGAGGGCAAAATAACACATCCCAGTACTTGATAGCTACTCAGAGGGCACATATTAAAATTAAAATATTTCTCTAGTTTTTCCTTCTTGGCTTACGTTTTATTGTCGGAGCGATACCTATTTTTTATTTTAATGTCCGTCCGGACGACTGTTTTAAATCAATAGACACGTATTTTTTATTTTCTTACAGAAACGAATACTTTCGACAATATATTGTTTTGAAATATCGCGTGACGTCACTTCTATGTACATTTTATACGTAGAAATGACGTTTTAGCTCCCACTCATAAACTTTGATTCGTTTTATCTAAGTATTATTTTATTATAGGACAAAAAATAAGTGTCTAATATTTTTTCATTACTAAACTGACGGACTAAATATTTTTTCATTTTCATAGCGTCATCGTCCCTTTTGGAATTCTTTGAGTTTTGAATGAGACTCATAACCATAAACAATTGGTGTTAAAATATGTGCACTGACAAAAGAGCCATAAGAGATCCATAAGCTTTAGTTGCGCCAAATTAAGACGAATTATCTCTTTCTCGACATCTAGTTCACTACCCCATTTCCTAGCAAAAACACTAACTACCCCTGTTCCTGAGTGCTATACCACTCAGAAACAGTTTGGGAGCAGATGTTTTACCAGGTTATAATAACCCGGGTGTTTTTAAGGCTCGAGTGTATAGGTTGATTATAGGTAGGCGTGCTCTATCGTAGACAGTATTATGGCAGGTGAGATAGTGGTCAAAAATAAAATGAATCGTCCTGTATCCCAAACAGTCACATGTTACCACATATGAGACTTTTAATAATTACTATTGTAACACCAGGTCGCGTGTAGATGCTAGATAGTGCACCTACACAGATTAATGCCGTATCACACCATCTGAGATATTATCAGCATAGTTATGGTCGCCCCCGTTCTGTCTTTGTTGACAATATAACTGTATTGCAGTATATGAAACATTTAACGTTCGAAACGTTCGAACCAACTTTGGTGTGATTTTAAAATGATACTAGCTTCTCCGAGCGACTTTGTCCGCGTGGTCTTGAGATAAAAAGTAGTCTATGTGTTATTCTAGTACACCATAATCCACCCCTGTTCCAAATTTCGTCGATATCTCTTTAGTCGTTTTGATGTAATAATACGATCGAGTAACAAACGATACGGCCTTCAAACCTTCAAGAAAAGAGCGTATTCCTTTTTAAAAGGCAACGTACCTGTAACTCCACGGGTGTCCATGGACGGCTCTGATCGCTTACCATCAGGTGATTCGTCTGCCCATTTGCCTCCAATTTCGTAAAAACAAACAGACATGCACATAAACTCCTAAAACTTCGCATTTATAAAATTATTTTTTTAGATTCAAAGACATCTTTCTTGAAAGTTGCAATTATTTGACCTGTATTAGTTAATTTACTAGTAACTATTTAAACATTACTTCGTTGTATATCAATGTGACACCAAACGTTCTAAAGCACGCTTGCGATCTTTAGTATTCGCTTTTGCATTTCTGAGAAATCTTCTTTGTTTATTTTGAATTTGTGGCTTCGTGACACCACGCTGTTCGTACATACTTGCTCTTTTTTCATTCACGGAATTAAAAGCCTTGCTAATGTTTACCCACTACCGCTATGCTGGCTATGTAGGTACTTTAATATGAAACTTCGTCAACTTTCACCCTTAATAATAAAATAAAAACTGCGTTTAAAAAACCTACTTCAAAAAACCAAAAACTTATAACAAACTAAAGGTCAAAACTAAAAAGCAAGAAATAACTATTATTAGTACTGATAGGTACCCCACCCACTGATAGGTTAGAAGTCTGTTAATATTATTGTCTCCTTTATTATTTTTTACACATATCACAGATACTAAATTGAAATCCCTTTGTTTAAAGCAAGAATTTTAGCATGACACTAAATACAATGCCTTACTCCGTGCTGACAATCACAGACACCTAATATCTTAAAAGACATAGTCTAGGGCCATCAGACCACCACGGATGGGGCCCAACAGGGCTGATGCCGATCGGGTGTCGCGGAGAACCTAACGGGTTACCGGGGCTCCGGCTCGAAGCGCAGGAGAAGGAACGGGGTGGTTTTTAATCAGTAAGAGTCTGACACTCCCTCCCGCCTCACCCAGGCGGGAGCAGTCATTCGATGATTATCCCCCTCAAAAAAATCTATGAATGAATACGATTCAAGTTTCGATTTTGCAACATCTTGACCTTCGATATTATATCTATGTTTGTAGGTCAGAGCAAAATCCAAGGTCACCCCAAGAATTTAAGGCCAAGTTCATAGGAGATTTTACTTCAACTCACACGAGGATTCCCCTGGCTTGCAAATATTACATACATACTCATGCATACACTACATACTCATATTCATTGACGTTGTTAAACAAATAAGAAGATTTAAATATTTATTCTAGGTTCTACTTACTTACAAAATAGATTTTGTAAGTAAAATTTCTGTAGGCCTATGGATTATTATTGATCCAAAAATTAATAATTTGAGTAAGTACTTAAAACTACGTGTTGGTTATTAAATGCTAAATTATAACCTAAAGATAAGTAAAGCTAACCTTCAGTGGTCATTTTTTGTGGAATAGGAGGCAAACGAGCTGACGGATCACCTGATGGTAAGCGATCAGCACTGCCTATAGATAACCGCAACACCAGACTCTTGGTCATGATCATATAGAATCATATTAGAAACAAAATCAAATCTTTCTAACAATAGCGTCAAAAAAGAATAAATTAACAAGAAATATGAATAATTTCACGCGAACCAAGCCGCGGGTAACAGCTAGTATTTCTTAAAATTCAGTACGTTCAGTACATTCGGTCCATCATGATGAAAATTGTTTATTTGACAAATAGACGAACATCTTTACTTGAAGGCAGCTGACCCAGTGAACTATCATCGTAATTAACTAACGACAAATATTTAAATGTCAATGCATTTTTTACTTTAATGGTGCAATTTTAGGCCTAGATTTTAATATGAGTCTAGGTAATACATACGTCAATTTCTTGTGTATGTTTTGACAAATAAGGCGTAGTATTTGAATAGGTTGCGGTTGTAGTAATGACAAGTTAAACGTAATGTATGGTTCACCATATAGAAGGTTGGCAGGCCACAACTGTGCGCTTCTCACGTAGCTTCCTGCCTCGCACAACAAAACTGTGGAAAGATCTGTCGTCGGTGGTATTTCCGAACCGATACGACCTTCAAAACTTCAAGAAAAGAGTGTATTCCTTTTTAAAAGGCTGGCATCTCACCTGTGACTCTTCTGGTGTTGCGTGTGTCCATGGGCGGCGCTGATTGCTTACCATCAGGTGATCCGTGTGCTCGTTTGCCTCCTATACCATAAAAAAAATCCTTGAATTGTACCTAACTAGCTTCTGCCCGCGTTCCCGTAAAGTAAAAGGTAGCCTATATGATATTCCGGAATATCATCTATATCATCCTCTGTTCCAATGGTAATTGGGCCTCCGGTAACCTCACTCACACGACGAAACACAACGCAAGCGTTATTTCACGTCTGTTTTCTGTGAGGCCGTGGTATCACTCCGGTCGAGCCGGCCCATTCGTGCCGAAGCATGGCTCTCCCTCACTTAAATCTGAGTTGCATCAGATTGTTTGCACATTACAATTGTTAGGTACCTAGTTTCTAAACTCTTCAGTAAATGATTCTCCTTTGACATTATTCTTTAACGCATCTCTGGATTTTCCTCCAAGAAAACAAATTACCTTCATTAGTATAAGTAAATACTAAATAGGCGCTGTAACCATATATGAGTCCACTATTGACGTTCGATGTGAACAGACGTGTGCATTAAACATATTGTTGAATTAACGCAAGAGTGACCTACTAAATAATTTTTGCTTAGTTTGAAATTTAGTAATTTATAATGGAAACATAATCATATTTAAATAAAAATGGATAAATTCCCGAACAA